CACGCCCCAGGCTTGCTTGGCTCTGGCTCCCAGAGGATGTTTGAAAGCTGAGTTGATTGGAAATCCATAGATTCTTGTCTTAGGACTTGAAGTCTAAGTGGATCTACTTCTTAGCTTGCCAAATGTGGAAGTTTTCTGTGGCCACGCTCCGTCAGGCAGATGGACATTCTTGGGCTGAACTTTTTATGGCCAGTGCCGAAGCTTCTGGCAACCCAGACCCAACCCACTGTCACGGGGTCCATTCTGATCACAGCGACCCTCCGAACAGTGTCTGAGGCTCTGGATCTTTACTGTGGGTGCCTTCAAAATTCCACGTGACCTTTTTTGATATCATGACTACTCAAATGTATTGTGATAGAGGAGTAAGCCAAGCTTTAGTCTGGTGGTCTTCTACCGGATAGGAGTTGTAAATCCCATTGTATCCATAAGATTGTAGATTGTATCCATAAGATAGTCTCATTCTCTTTGAAATTTTAGAATGCTTCAAAAAGTATTTCCTTCCTCTCGAAAAGGCTGTTAATGTTAATGCTTTTTAGGCCAGGAGCACTTTAGGTAACAAATTATTCCAGCCACATACTTTATTTCCTTATCACTGGTCTTTATGAAAAGCAGGAGATGTGGTAGACTTCTGTTTTTCTATTTTTGGTTGTTGGTGTTGCCAATGATGGCTTTTTAAGTTTGTGAAGCAATCCCTACAAAAAAGCAAGAGAGAGAGAGAAATGAAGTGCTATTCCCATAGTAAAGTCAGATGTAATCAAAATAAGCAGATATGGCTCAAGGTATCATTCACAGAACAAAGAGAGATTTTCATTATTCATGCCTCAAGGTGTTCTCCAACATTGCCTGAAACACAAGTAGACAATCATTGAAGGTTCTACTTGCCTCATACATAGACTTAGACAACATGAACATTCATGGAGCGCCCTTTGTCTGGACAGACTTCCTTAGAGTGTGACACGCATCTCCTGCTGGGAAGACAAACAAAGACGCTCAGAGCTTGAGGAGAGCTCTCTAACCACCATCAGTTCTTGGGGACACCTGTCCTCTATGTCTCACCTCAGTGGCGTGTCTGATTTACCAAATCATGGATCCCCAATTCAAACCCTCCTCGGGAATTTTCTTCCTTCTCTTGTATCTTCTGTGCTCCCCTCAAAATTATTTGGCTTTCTGCATGGTAACACCTTAGGATCCTTGAAAAATTTAGCATTAAAGTTACCATTTGACAAAAAAGGAAATAGGCCCAAAGAGAATGAGTGATTTACCTATGGTTCTATAGTTGAGTCTTTAGTTTGAGTTTTGTTCAATATCCTTTCTTGACATCATACCAAACTGAAAGATCCACTGCCTTCAAGTTGATTCCAACACATAGTGACTCTATACATGGATTTTTGAGGCGGGAAATCTTTATCAGAAGAGACCGCCTTATCTTTCTCCTTCAGAGTGGCTAGGGGGTTTGAACCACCAGCCTTGTGGCCACTAGCCCAAAGGCTAATCTATACTACCCATTTTTATACAAATTCTTCTATTCAAGGTATCACATTGTTTGAATTCATCTAAGCCCTTTATTCGACTGTGGTTGTTAATATGGCTAAGGTGACAGTAACCACCACTCATGTAGACACTTTTGTGACTGGTTGTATGTCAGGAACATGATTTTGCTTTCTACAACAATCCTGCCAGCTAGTGGTATTGGTGTTTTCTCATTTAGAGATGGCAAGGCTAAGAAAATATCCCTAGTAACTGAGACATCCAGGTTTAACCTTAGACGAGCTTCTCTGCTCTTGGAACCCATGAACTTGATGCCTCTCCTAGCTGTCTTTCTTATTTTCCATAGCTGTCGATTCCTTTACCTCTTTATTGAATCTGTCAGTCTGGGTACTTGAGAGAAACAAATCCACAGCAACTCATGTATGAGAGAGAGTTTTATATAAAGGGTAAGTGCGCATCAAGAAAACATCCCAACAAAGTGCTGCCTAAGCCCACAAGTCCAACATTAACCCATTAACCCATATGTCCAACACCAGTCCACAAAGTCCTCCTCCATCTCACAGAACAGACACAATGATGCCGACTGCAGGAGGAAAGACAAGTCAGTGAATGTGTAGGTATCTCAGCGCTGGCAGGGGTCTCTACACGGCTGCTCCAGCACCCAGGGTTGCGTTGGGGTAGGTCCATGCAGCTTCTCCTTGGGGATGTCTTGCAGGAAGTCAGTCTTGCAAGCTAAAGCAGGGAACTGCTAAGGCAGCTGCACCCTGGTCTGACCATCACAAAGTAAGAGACCTGAGAACTAGAAAGGTGAGGCTCAATGAGCCATTTTCCCTCTGCCCTTCAATTAACCCCACATGTGTTTATTGGCCAGGTTGGCACAATAAACTAACTAACTCAGAATCTTTTTAGTTTATCTTATTTGGTTCCATTCTTTGCACCTATTTATTTTTCATTTTCATCTTCCAATTGAACTGAACTTTGTCACCTTTTAATAAAATTATCTATAAACACTTGGCCCGTGTTACTTGAGTAATTTTAACTCTCAGAAATTGTCAACATGTGAAAAACAAAACAAAACAAAACAGAGCAATAAATTTAAAACATTGCCATCTTTCCAACGATGGGAATAACATTTTTCTCTAATTTGTGAAATATGTTCAGTGATTTTTGTCTCATAAATTTTGGAGGAGAATTATATAGGAACTGATTTATGGTGTTAAATGTAACATTAACATTCAATAAGCATAATTATAAGCTTTTATAATCTCTAGTAAAACACTTGAGAATATTATTATCTTTAAAATTCAGAGCAATGGAGTTAGGCTCCAAGTCTTAAATTAATTAAACTGCATTTGAATCAGTTATTAGACATTTTACCTCCGGTGTAATTCTTACATAAATTAGAGAAAAATCTGTATGTTTAGTCATTTAGGAAGAGGAAGTAGATAGTAGATTCCGAAAGCATCTTTTGATCATTTATTCACGGATGCCTTTTCAGTCTTGAGCAGGAAGAGTAGTAAAGACGCCTGAAAAGAGCTTCCTTTGTCTCTGCGGTGACTGAAAACAGTGCTGGTTGTCTAACAAAGCACACCCAAGTTTGTATTTTGATGGAAAACTAACTTCGTTGATGTATCCTCGAACTCCAAAGCGGGCAACCCTGTCCCCTGGGGGGCACTGGAATGGTCCAGTGGGGCTACGGAAACAGATGCTTGCCTCACTTTATCCTGCATTGTGGCCTAGAACACAAAGAACTTTCTCACCGCTAAGAGCACACAGACTAATTCTTTTCCTGAAATGGGTGTGGTAGGTCCAATAAGTTCGGAAACCTATGCAATCTGTAAGTGTATCGCGCTAAATATAGGGTTATAGAAAACCCAAACCTACTGCCATTGAGTGGATCCCCACCCGACTCCTGGCGACCTTATACAACTGACCTTGTGTGGTTAACAGACTGTAACTTGGCAGTTCTCAAACTGTGGGTCCCGACCCCCTGGGGGGGTGTCGAAAGACCCTTTCACTGGGGTCGCTTAAGACCATTGGAAAATAGGGTCTTAAGAACCAAGACACCACTCCTCCATCCATCTCCAGGCGGGTCTGCCCACATGCAAATACGCCCACATACGAGTACCAGGTGTGAAGACTGTTACCCGTGCTACACATGCTTCAAGACAAAATTTCATCTATTTGTGATTAGAAATAAATGTTTCCCAATATATAAAGCCATATTGTTTTTGTGATTAATCACTATGGTTTAATTATGTTCAATTTGTAACAATGAAAATATATCCTGGATAGCAGATAGGGATATCGGTACAGATACGGATATTAGCTATCAGATACATTATGATTCATAACAGTAGCAAAATGACAGTGATGAAGTAGCAATGAAAATAATTCTATGGTTGGGGGTCGCCACCACATGAGGAGCTGCGTGAAAGGGTCGTGGCGTTAGGAAGACTGAGAGCCCTGCAGTAACTTATCAGAGTGGAAAGCTTCCTCTTTATCCTGCAGGACTTTTAAACCCATCTCAAGACCTCCCTGCCAGTTGACCTCATTTGGAGATTGACTTTCATCTGTCTCTATGTGTATGATTTGTGCACATGTACACAAGCATAAGAAGTATTCAGGAGGAATATACACACAAAGAACAGGGGTTGCCTCCAAGGAATAAAAGTGGGGCTGATGGGTATTGGGTTCAGAGAGGCTCTGCCACCTTTTACTCTATATGAATATTTCTGTTTGATTTTTTAAAATCATGCATATGTGACTTTTGAAACAGCAACAGCAATAAACATACATCTATATGCACACACACATGTGCATACCTATATGGAAAAGTGGAATGAAAAGAAAATGGAATTTTCACATATTGATCAGTAAAAATAACATTCTTGTTATAAATCCTGCTTGTATTCCAGTTCCACAGCCTCCTAGATTGGAGCCCCAGGAACCAAATTCTGCCACAAGCACAACAATTGCAGTTTATTGGAGTGTGAACAAGGAGGATATCATTGACTCGTTCCAGGTTTACTGCATGGAGGAGCCTCAGGAAGGGCAAGAAGTCAACGGTAGGTGGTGATTTGGAATGGGCACATACATTTGTAGTAGACACACGCGTGTATTTCTGTACTGTGACCTGAAACTTTTGAGCATGTGTACCTTACGACTGTTCCCATTAAGCCTTTATAAGCATATGGGCTAATATTGGACTTATGAACTTGATCTGGACTGGGCTGGGCCGTTTTCTTAATA